GCTGCTCATGCTTCGGGGACTGAAGGTCGTTGTTACGCCAATTACGTGATACGTCGTTTAATAATGTCAATCCCATACATTTGACTTTTTAATTCAAGCTAAATGCTAGATAACAAGATTTAAAACCCCTTGGCTAGGATCCCAGCCCCCCTAGAATAGGGATATGATATATAGCTCGTTTTAATCGAGCTCAATTATTAAATTACTATTTTAGTTTGTTAGTAAAACGTGAAAAAAAATGTCATATAATGTAAATTGTAGTGCTCGTGCTACGGGATATGAAGTTTAATTCTTATTTTAGTTTATGAGCGACAAGGAGCGTCCATAAATTACGTGAGGTGTTTTTTTGGATTTTCTGTCCCTCCCTCCCCCCCTGGTGAGATAGCGTGAAATTTTATTCAACCACCTCCCCCATCCCCCAATCTCACGTGAGATGTTTCAAAATGTGGGTTTCTTTCGTAAACGCGTTGGCTTGTTATTGTAAAAAGAAAAAAAAATGCTTCGTGCTTTTATTTACGACTACTTAAGACTAGTTATCAATATTACTGAGAGTTATAAGTGTAATAAAAATTTAACAATAGAATACTTAATAGATACTACTGTGAAAAAAATTGCGTGATATTTGCCGAGACCCCCCCCCTCTCTCCAACGTAAGATTAGATGAGATTTGACTCCACCCCCTCCTCCCCTTAAACATCTCACGTAATTTATGGATGCCCCCAAGGGTGGTAAACAAGCACATACAAAAAAAAATGGGTGCGTGTACTTATGTAGGCGCGTGAGATGTTATCCTTCTTTGGCATCGTTTAAAATTAGTTTTTAATTGCATGCAAATAATTAATTACAATAAATTAATAAAAAGTCTGGAAAAGGACACAGTCAATAAAGTTCAGTTTTAATTTGAAAAAATAAATAAATAATCAAAATATTCAATTAAAATCGCTACTGAATATAATTTATTAGAACTTATGTGATTTGCACTTGTATGAAACTCAAACACGTAATCCGAATATACAAACTAGAAACATGTGGATAAATATTATAAATATGAATACCTATAACTGTTACTTTATTACAAAAAATAAAGATGTGGTTTTTGGTTCTACTACACCAATGGTCAAGAGATGGCGCTGTAGTCTCCTGAATCGCGCTTTGGTTCCGTTGTTCCAGATTAATAAATACTTTTGATAGGCCTTCACAATGCAGTCGTTAGCTCCCACTAAATAGAGATTCTATTTCTATTTTGTTGGTAGATTTTCTTAATGTGCGATAAACACAAAAGTAACAGCATGAAGTTGGTCGCTAAAGCGACCAACTTCAATCTGTTAAAATTTTGTTACAGTGATGCGCGCGCATCTTAAAATTTCACTCTCATCATTTTTTCATAACGCGCCTAAAGAAGTATAACTTCAATAGACATTGATGTCAATTCTGACGTGATTCTCTAAACCTAAAATTAAATTTGAAAACAGTGTTTCCTACTCATTCTCTATACAGAATGAAAAGGAGAGACTGATGTTAAATTTAGTTTTAAGTTTAGAGAATCACGTCAGAATCGAAACCAATACTTACCTAGCACAACGATTATTGCATTCTATGTATAACCAGTTACGGCCGGGATGAGTTCAAGGTAAATAAAAAAAATATCTTGAACGGCCTTTGCAAAAGTTGCTTCATAACTTCTTTAATTGCAGACCAAACACAATAATTACTGCCTAAAAGAACATCATCATTAACCTTATAATGTCCGCACGGTGGGACCTGAAATTGACAGATTCAAATAGACAAAAAATCCAATTATATTAAGGATTATGGCGGGGGAGAAATTTTATTTAGTCAGTCTCAGTTAGATTATAAAAAAAAATCGGTACATGTTGTTTATTTTGTCAATCAACCAAAAGATCAGAAAGATAAAGCGCATTAAAGCTTGGAAGTGAGCTCGTGACGTCACTTTTTAGTGATAATTGTACGAAAACGTGACGTCACGCGACATTTTAAATCATTATATCTTCCAAATGTTTTGATCATGTGAAAATATACAAAAAACGTGTCCAAAACGAAAAGAAAATTTGGTCATCATCATCGTCATCTCTGTCCTCCAGTCCATGTCTAAGAAAAGCTACCGATAAAAATATTTATATTATCATATTAACACTATTGTAGTGGTTATGTTGTTCAAAAGAAGCAATATTTATTTGAATAAATAATAAATAAATAAATATTCACTCACACCAATTAGCCTAGCCCCAAGCTAAGCACTATAAGGCTTGTGTTATGGGATACTAGGGTAACGGATAGAATACATATACTGTACATATATAAGTATATTTATAAAGAAATACATATTAAACATCCATGACTGGAGTACAAATGCTCGTATTCATCACACATACATCTGCCCCCACCGGGATTCGAACCCGGGACCTCTCGAGTCGGCGACACCATGAAACCCGGCGTACAAACCACTCGGCCACGGAGAGGTCGTCATAGTAGTCACTTATGATATAAGTACGGTAAGTTGGTTATTAAAAACGGGTAGGCGAGTGTAGTCACGAGTTTATAAATACTACTCCCGCACGAATGTCATAAAATAGTATACCTTTTTTAAGTAATGAAACAACATACTTTTTCTAATAAGGAAATGGCTCGCATTTTGCTATTGGCGCTACGTGCGGGCTAATTTTGAACTTTCGAACAATGTATATACAACTTTTGTTTGCATTTTTTGAGCTAATGTGTAAAAAGGTTATTTAATATCTCAGACTCCTCCGTGCTTCGGAAGGCACGTTAAGCCGTTAATTCCGGTTGTATCTGCAGTCGTTAGCACCCAATCGGCACTGGGCGGGTGGGTTATGTCATGGAATGGCCCGTTATCCCTATTTTCATCCATAAGGAAGGCCTGTGCCCCAACAGTGGGGACATTAATAGGCTGATGTTGATAAGGCTGTTCAAAGTTAACAAATACTACTCAATACATTTAAGTTATTGATTTAACTTGTTAACTCTATTTATGTCACTTGATATCAGCGGTGTGACGGCGAGTTTGGCGTGATGACTTGGATGCCGTGACGGCGTGAATGCCGTGACGGCGTGAATGCCGTGACGGCGGGGATGCCGTAACGGCGGGGAGAGCATGCGGCGTTAAACACTGACCTGTAAAGCATACTAGAGAAAGCAGCAAATATGTATCAAAAAACTAAACTAAGTTTATCACTTTAACCAATCGTCTATTTTATAAAAGATGAAACGAAAGTATTCCTTTACGTTGCGTCTCAATTTATAAAAAAAAAAACTAGAATTTCGAGAAACGTACTTTCAAATGACAGTGCTTCATAGTATTGGTCTTCAGTATAGCTTACCGAAGCTTAAATGCCCTAGATACTATTGTTATTAAATTGTAAAGTACCTACAGTTACTTCATAAATAAACTAATGAACTATACTTAAACCGCGTTGTTGGAAACATAACACTACCGTTTTAACATAAAAAATGCCTCCTTTTTTGTAACAAAAGCGACAGCTTTGCCAATACAGTGACCGATATCGAAAGTAGGTAAAGGAAAGGTTGACATCTTTGCAGGTATCTACAACATCTAGAATTTCCACTAAGAAAAATCAAGAACACAACGCAAGTCATCGTAAACTTTAATGGAAATTCAGAGGAAACGCGAAAACCTCTCTTTAAACCTTCAATAGTTCAATATTTTTTTAACCGTAAGTGAATCAAGGGTTTTCCTTTTAAATATTCGCAACGTGTGCTATTCCAAAATACAAGTTTAGTTTTATTTAATTGAGTTTAATAAAGTCCGTTTGCGAAGTTTTAAACTAACTGATTTCGCTTTAAATATTATTCCCGCCTACAATAACAATACATCCCTCCGATTCCGCGGGCCTAAGCACGTCTTAGAATACCCCCACGGCGAAATCACCCGCGCCAACGCGCCTCCGAATCCTCCCACACAGGCCACTAACACCAACACTACACAGCTAGCAAATTTGCCCACTAGCAGCATGATGCAGACACCATACCCGTAGGATAAGAGTGCGAAGACCCGGTCTACACACGACACGCTATGGTATATGAAATTTGAACTATTGAAGGTTTAAAGAGAGGTTTTCGCGTTTCCTCTGAATTTCCATTAAAGTTTACGATGACTTGCGTTGTGTTCTTGATTTTTCTTAGTGCAAATTCTAGACGTTGTAGAAACCTGCAAAGATGTCAACCTTTCCTTTACCTACTTTCGATATCGGTCACTGTATTGGCAAAGCTGTCGCTGTTGTTACAAAAAAGGAGGCATTTTTTATGTTAAAACGGTAGTGTTATGTTTCAAACAACGCAGTTTAAGTATAGTTCATTAGTTTATTTATGAAGTAACTGTAGGTACTTTACAATTTAATAACAATAGTATCTAGGGCATTTAAGCTTCGGTAAGCTATACTGAAGACCAATACTATGAAGCACTGTCATTTGAAAGTACGTTTCTCGAAATTCTAGTTTTTTTTTTTATAAATTGAGACGCAACGCTATGGTATAGCGTGTCGGTACAGATATGTATGCGGGGTTTTGCCCCGCCCTCCACGACAACGGCTAACTAGAGTCGAGGTCTGAGTCTCCGAGACGCCCTCTAGTTGAACCGACCCTCTCAGGTTCGAGTGGTCTAGAGGCTCCAGACGGAGAGGACGACTCACGGAGGTGTGGGGAGATACCATGCGCCTGGAATACCTCTAGAGGCACTCGCCAATTCGCGGCTTGAGGTCCCCTTAGGACCTCTTCTCGCCGTCCCCAAACCCGGTGACGCTGTAAAGGTCATCTGCAACCAACACACTCAAAAAAAATAGCAATACTCCGACCCGGGGTGCTACTATTACAATGTTATTGCTTTTGTCCAACCAAAATATCTTATTTCTTGTTTTCAATTATTTTTAAGTTCATTTGATTGCAAACTATTATTATGGTTTTTTTAATTTGACTGTTATTAACATTAAATTATTATTTTTCAGGTATTGTTGGTGAGGTGACTGAAAGGACTTATATTGAAAAATACAATTGTAAGTACCAAATCCATTTTGTCTTACTTATTTGTTTATAAATTAAGATGCAAGAGATAGTGAGAGAGTTAAAAAATTAAATAGCATCGTTCACGAAAATGACGTGTGATCCATCACTTCCCATAACATTAACTTCCAATATCGCTGAATTCTTAAAATTTGCACACACACACACACACACATTACCCTCAAATATTAATCGACACTAATTACGCCTGCCGTCCCCTCAATTCGTAATGTCCCTAAAAACAAAGCCTTATTAAGCCAGCGTTTCCCAATGCCACCCAAATGGCGGAGTTACTCAAACTTTTACATTACCATGACGCCACTGCAATTCCTACAGTAACTTAATCATTTATAAATGGCATAACACGAAATCCACAGTCACTAGCTAGATGCCCGGGTCGTCGTCGCAATTGCAATTAAGTTTTCTAATAAACATGCTCTGAGAACGCTCGCGTGATCAAAATGAATCTTTTATGAACGGCCGTAGTGCCAACAAACTATTATGATTCGCTCTAGCCAATTGAAGTGTGCAGTATTCGCAAGAACTGCTGACGATAGAATGTTTACCAAACTTTTTGGACGTTAATGGCCTGCACAGACGAGGGACATTTGTGCACGGAGGATTTGTCCTCCGTGTTTGTGATATGGTAAGAAAATATCCCCCGAGGACATATCACGAACTCAACGCACATGATGTGCGAAAATTTGTCCTCCAAAAATTTGGAAAAGCGCGTGTTGAAGAAGTATATATTGTCAGATTACGTTAGAGTTGTAATTAACATGTCATTCCATTCCTTTAAATCGGATCGAACGCGCGCAAGGTGACTTTAGTTCGCTGTGTGCGTTGCTACGTGTAGTCACATGAGTTTAATTTTTCGGGATCTCCCGCGTTTTTTTTTGAGCGTGTAGCATACACGCATAGCTAGTTGGTCGGAGATGACCTTTACAGCGTCACCGGGTTTGGGGACGGCGAGAAGAGGTCCTAAGGGGACCTCAAGCCGAGAATAGGCGAGTGCCTCTAGAAGTATTCCAAGCGGATAGCATCTGGAGCCAACTCCCGCGTACTTTTGTCCTGTCCGGTCTCTCGGCGTCTTCGATTGTTCGAGGGACTTTTTGTACGCGGTACTTTTAATCCCTCGTATGTGTAACCCGATGAAGTTATAAGCGATCTATTTTGGTGGACAGAAAAGTCCACGGATAATTATCCCTCGTCTGCGCAGGCCAGTATTGTCAATTATACGATTCGTTTGTTTCGATAGATTGTAAATAGTCATGAAAATTAGTAATACATCTAAGAATACATCTTTTCATAACGATGTCTCGCTGTATGCGTTAAAAGAGTTAGACAGCCGTTAATTTTAAATAATTTCTATTTTGAAATGTTTATTTACAAACCAATGCAGCATTGCAAAGCGCTATATTAACACCATCGCATTCGCCTTACATTGTGATTTTTTTGTTTGTTTATAATTTGGACACTAATAAAATTTCACTTAAAGCTGCTCATGAATTAGCTGCTAGTATAGAATGTAATTAATTACGATTCGTATATTTTTATATATAAGTACATTTATATCACTTACCCTAATTTTTATTCTGTTTACATTTTACAATGACAAAGAACATAACATACTATATACCAATTTATTAATATTTTAGATTGATCTATATTTTTTACCTATAATTCATGCCCGAGAACAAAGCCTAGTCTACATCGCAGCGGAGCGAAGGTGGGTTATTAGTAATTTATTATGATATCCCATAATAAGTAGTCACGTTAAGGATTTACACAATTTATCGTCATCGTATCAAAAGTACCTCTTTCGCTTTTGGTTTGGCCTTCATCTGTGTACGATGCTGTGTACAACCCGTCGTTTTCTGAAGCTTTTTAAGCGGCCCTTAAATTAGAATGTTATCAATTTGGTAATTAGGCGTTCTCTGCAGATGACCTCTGCCAACGCTTCAATACACATTTAGAAATACTAATTTCTCTCGACAGTGTTTTCGGAAAAATGCCATTTCATGCGACTATATTTACATTTTAAATGAAATGGCTTTTTTTATAAAATATAACAACCTGAGCTTCTGTGGCCTTCAGACATAACTGAATAACTCATGTTAAATCCTTCCAAAAAAACACAAAATAAATGACAACTCGGATATGTCCCTTTTTTGACACGACTGCTCTAAAATGTAGTAAAACGTTTACAAGGTTCATGTATTTATGTTTATGTTTGATTTTTCTAAAGACAGAAACAGACTATTGAAAAGCGAAACGACACCACGTGTCGACACCCGATGTACACTGTGCACATTATCAACACGCGATGTCACGACACACAGGCAATTTTCGAATACAGTTGCCTGACCGCAGTAAAGGCTGTGTGCTATGGATTTAATAAATAATGAGTCATTAAAAAGTTATTTTACGTTACAGCTACATTACCGTAATAAGTTTAATTTTTAATTTTATGTGTGTGCGTTTATAAAGTAAGACTTTATAACCTATCTTCGTAATTCGAAATATTTCGACATGAGTGTAGATAAATGTTTTAACCGCACGCTCCGTTGTATGGCGCGTAATTTTGAATTTTCGAACAATGATTACAACTTTGATAAATGCATTTTTTTAACAGATGTTTTGAAAATGTATAATGCGGGAGCAAACCAAGTGCAATATTAATTAAAGATGTCACACAATAGCACTGTTAAGCAAAAAATATTGCAGAACAAGATCACTTTATAGAAAAAACTTAGATCGATTTGAACTAATAAATAGAAAAATTAAAAAAAAAAACAATTAGTGTTATTTAACATAGGATATCATTCATAATAAACAAATAAAAATGATTAGTAGTTCAATTTATTTACTTTTGAAAACTAACTGAGACCGGAAATGAACCAGCAAGCTCAGACAATCCGTACCAAATGTTCTGACCACACTTAGACCGCACGAATATCAACGATTGATTAGGTTGCTGATGAACAGCAATCGAATTGGCAAGCCTTTGGGCGGCATCAAACCACGCCGCGTCTATCAGGATGCGATTTCATTAAAGTCGTAGAGCGGCTCATCATGCGATCTTAATAAATACCCATAATACCTAATAACATATCAATTACATCATATTTGGTCCCCGAAATAATGAAAGAAAGCTGCTAGTCTACACATCTTTCAGAAACTACTCCATCTTTTATTGTTTTATTCAAATTTCGGGCAAGCACAATCAGTTTCTTTGATTTAATTTAAAGTGTGCGATATTATTTAATTTTTCTTATCTATTCTTTCTTATAACATAGGATTTCTTTATTTTAAGAGATTCGGGATGTTCTATATGCAGGGTGTCTTATTGCCTATTTTCTGCAGCACTAGTTGCTTTCGCTTCGAGCGATCTCTTTAAATATAAAGAGCTCTATCCATTAATCACCAAGTAGTTAATTTACCAAACTCCTTAGAAAATAAATATAAAGATTAGATTAAATTTCTCGCGGCGTGCGTCGCGTCGCAAATCGCTCCGCTCAAGAGGGCACGTTGGCCTCGCCCTTACGGCTCCCATTGTCTCTGCTCTTATGTAAATAGTCACGATTAATGGTGTGTACAAATGAGGCATTGTGTAAGCTGCGGATATGGACGTGGACGCGAGCACTTGCGCATACGCCCCCTAGAGATTTATAAAACGATATACGGAAATTAAAATTCTGATAAATTAACCCTATGATTTTTGGTAATAACTTTCATTTTAGGCCCTTCTATATTAAAAAAAAGCGGCCAAGTGCGAGTCCGACTCGCCCATGAAGGGTTCCGTAGTAACAAGTAACATAATATAAAAGTACTTGTAGTTCGTTGTAACTTTGATTGATGTTTTAATAATAGTGTATTTTTTCAAATTAATTAATTATTAAAAAAAACTACTTACTAGATCTCGCTCAAACCAATTTTCGGTAGAAGTTTGCATGGTAATGTGCATCATATATTTTTTTACCTTTATCATTTTTTTATTTAAGAAGCACTTTGGATGTCTCTCGCGTAAACTATTCAGTATAGAAAAAATGATATTCGAAACCTCAATATAATTTTTGTAGACCTATCACAGAGACCTATCCCTACACGTATGGGTTTGATGAAAAAAATTTTTTCAGTTTCAGTTCTAAGTATGGGGTACCCCCAAAATTAATTGTTTTTCTTCTATTTTTGTGTGAAAATTTGAATGCGGTTCACAGAACACATAAACTAACCAAGTTTCAACAGTTATAGTTCTTATAGTTTTGGAAAAAAGTGGCTGTGTCATACGAACGGACAGACAGACAGACATGACGAATCTAAAAGGGTTCCGGTTTTTGCCATTTGGCTACGGAGAGATGCCGTCCTCCTGGATTACCTCTAGAGGCACTCGCCAATTCTCGGCTCTCGGGCCCCTTAGGATCTCGCCGTCCCCAAACCCGGTGACGCTGTAAAGGTCATCTGCGACCAACAGCATACACACCCAAAAAAATATATGTTTCTGAAAGAACAGTGTCCGTGAAAATCGTAAAAAAGTAGTAACCATGGAGCTGCCGATTACAAAGATGAGAATAAAAATCAGAAGCAATCCCAATTTCCTTAATCCCAAACTTATTCATGTAATCGTTGATTTTAACATTGAAAATGTGGGTTACCTATAATGCGAAGAGATGGCGCTGCCTTGCAGCTTAAGAATGGCTAGAAGAGTTTCGACGCGGTCCTTGAGGGCCGCGGTAGCATAATTGGTCAGTGCATTCGCCCGGATTGCGAAGGATGCGGGTTCGAGTCCCGTCTGCTGCCTGGTCCGCGTGAATTTTTTTCTAGTTATATTTTCTTTAGATTTAAACATCAAGCAGTTATGCTTTAAAATAATAGAAATTATAATTGCAAAAAAGTATTTTCGTTCGCTCCAGTAGGTCTCCATTTTCGCTGAAAGCGCGATTGGCCCGTGATACCCCGAGGCTAAACCTCTGCCACGAGGACAAAGAAGAAA